CATTTTACAAGCCACTAGTGTGAATCATTGAACAAGCAAAATAAAACAAGAAGACATGAGAAGAGAGAGCAGCAATGCACAATATCTATCATTAAATTTCATACCTCCATATTCCCTCTGAGCTAGCAGCATCATTAAAAGCCTATCAACAGGGTTGACTGATAACAGAACAGCATTTCATATTAGGTAACATACCTTGCAAACGCAAGAGAGTCTGGCTGTATCTTCAGCTGGTAAGAAGTTACAAATATTAACCAAACAAAGATATGGCAGCTGGTCTAAAGTGAGCCCACTAGGAGCAGCAGAAGCAACTTCTGTTTCTTGAGAAGAAAACTCCATTTTGCTGAAGGAGGGGTAGTTTATTATTTAGTAGTTTGTTAACTACTTTTATTAAAGTTAATAAATCTGATAAAATTAAGTTTTTGGATACTAGCTGTATATCTCCGGATTTTATTTACTCTCCCACGTGCGTTGTAATGGCCGAGGAGAGACATCTCTACACTGTACTCTCTAACTTGAAATCTAATAGAGAGGAGACCAAGGGAGCACTTCAAGCTACCACAGTATCACTTATCCAGTAAATAACTATTAAATAATTGTAATGAACACTTTCCTAGGCTGTTTTTCCATAATTTTTAATTTATGAGCATTTGGGCATTAATTTATGTCAATAATTGTATCGTATGAAAGGGTGTGGCTAGCAAAAATTCTTGCCCACTTTGAGGGGAAAAATACAAAATTTAGGTGAGAGTTGGAGCTAAAAATTACCAAGTTTAATTGAAAATTGTAAAAAAATAATCTAAAATTATGAAGACGGATATTATTACGAAATTTTAAGTTTATTTGCATGAAAGAAATTACAGCTACGTCTCTAGCAAGAGCTCATCACTAAAAGTTATCAGTTTTCAGATATGGTCTTCAAAACACCTATCATTGGTCAAATCCCTCAAAGCCAAGAATTTATACCTTTCGGATATTCATGCCCTATTTATGAACATATCACTATCTTAATTTCATTTAAATTTCATTCTAAGTTATGAATATCCTCTTTCCTCCATTAGTGATCACAATAAAGGAAGAATCACAGACATACTCCAGTTAGGTCTCCTCCATTCACTCGTTGGTCTCATTCGTTGCACTGCTGATGCTGATATCCTGTATATAGCCCTGCAACTGCTCTCAGTATTGACTCATGGGTCTGATGAGATGAGACTGGAACTAGCTAGAATGAAGATAGTCTCTGTACTGCTACCATTACTGACACCACCACAGGAAAAGGTACAGTACAATGTACGTGTACTGTATTTTTAAAATAATTTAAAAAATTACTGATTTAGATGAAAATTTAAAATGGGCAGTTAAAGTTTTTAGCTTTATTTTTTTGCAAATTTGACTTGATCTAAGTAATTTCATAGTTCTTTCTTGCAAATTGTAATTATTATAATACATGTGTTTTATTATTAATTAGAGTGAGTGGGAGTGGATACCAGTACAGGAGATGGTGCTGACTGCTCTTAGAAAGATCACCTTTCATTGTGAGGCTAATCAAGCTGCTTTCATTAAAATGGGCGGATCCTCTCTGGTAGTTAAATTATGTAAATACGACCAGAACAAGTATCCACCAGAGACTACTGAAAGGTAAAAATAGTAATAGTAATAATAATAATAAAAATAATAATAATAATAATAATAATAATGATAATAATAATAATGTGTAAAATTACATGCATGTATTGCGCATTAATATCAGTTTACTCCCATATGAACTACATGTATAGTACATAGTAAATTAGCTGCTATAGCTTTTACTCAAGGAATTAGTACAATTGTAGTATATTATTGCAACCCCCTGGTCATTCCTAAGATTGTTTTACCCACGTGCAATGTTCTTATTTAATCTTAGATATTTTAAATGATTTAATAATTAGTTCATTAATTAATAACTAGTAATAGACAAAAATAATACTTAACACTAGCTAAGTGTTAATTTTGATACCTATACATTTTTAATTGTAAAGTCAAACTAAACTATTGCAGCAGGACTCCGTTATTGTTTTAGTAAGATTGATCAAACTCTTTGAGCTCCCTCAGCCTTTGTATGGCTTCATCTATTTTCATCAGATCTGATTGGCATTTTTTAGCACGACTCCGCCTCATGTCAATATATTTTACGAGCAATTCCATTTCTGTTTCTGCTCTTTGGTACGTCATTCGGTCATCGTCTCGTTTCTTTTTGCATTTTGTAAGGCTTTGCGTTTCCTTCTCTAATTTTTTGTTTAAGTCTTCAATCTCTTTTGCATATTTTATTCTCTTTTTGGTGTTGGCAATAACTGTTGCATAAGTTCCATGTATGAATTCACCTTTGACTGTTCCTTTAACTTCATTGTATGATTGGTCAATCTCTTCAAACTCGCATTGTCCATTTGTCCACGTGGTATAGCTTTTGATTTCGTGTTGTGATTTAATACTGAAATTTTTCGAGGAAAATTGAAGCACTGGCTTTTCTTCGTTCATAGACCATTGTGCAGCAATAACGTCTTCATCTGTATCTTTTTGATTCAGCTTTTCCTCAGTATTTTTTATTTTGGTCTCAATTTTGGTAATTTCCAACTCTTTCTTGTGTATCTCATTGAGGGCCTCTTCACTGCGTTTATGAGCTTCTATCAATCTTTCTTTATATCCCTCTATCTCTCCCAGTAGCTCCTTGAGCTTTTCATTATCTTTTTGTTGGATGTAATCGGTCTTTGCTACCATTAGATTTGTGACATTTATCGGTTGCAATTGAAAGATGTAGTCAAGGATTGCTCTACGTACGTTTTGGCTGATTTCCTTTGCAGCATCCTGAATGGCCAGACAGTCGATTGTGAATATTTGTGGTGAATATGTTAGTTTCTTATCAGAACATTTGCAAAGCTCTGATACTGTGTCACGTTTTATTTGCTCGACATCAATATTCTGCCTCTTTCTCAGTTTATTTGAATCTTCATCTGTTTTGAATTCGGTCATTACAATAATGACATTGCTTTCAAACAGATCGGGAAAGAGCCTACTGTAATAATTCAATGTTGCTCTGTACTGTGCATCAATTTTAGCATTGAACTTAACAACAAGAATACAAGCTCTGATTTCTTCACACTCATTTACCTTCTTTATAATATCGATCATGTGAGATAAATCTTTTGTAGCACTTTCGTTCAACCCTGGGGTATCAATTAATTGAATGAAGTAATCTCTACCACCGTCAATTTGGACTGTCTTGTCCACAACTTTTACATCTTGTGTCATCGGCATATTGTCTGTGGCTATAGGAAAGGTTTGGTTGTCATACATGTGTGCCTCATCTGGATCTATAAGGTAGTTCCCAAAGGTGCTCTTTCCCATTCCAGTGGATCCAATAAGTAGAACTGGCATGATTGAAGGTGGTTGAGAACTGAGCTCTACACAGTCTGTTCCTAGTATTTATACTCAGTATGCAGTGGTACGGTATGATAGTGGTGTGATCTCATGAAATGCATTTTCGTTATAATTTTAGCAATTGCCTACGCCCAGAGACATGTAGAGTACTCTATTGGCAGACAATGCTGCCAAGAGTACTCTATTCCACTTCATACTGATCTACTCAATGATACGTCGAAAACAACTTCAAACATTTTAGGCAATAAATAAGTAAATGTATGGAAGACATGCATTTTTAGACTATGACTATTTACATGTATATATGTAGCTCTTAATACAGAAAACAAAGCTTTAGTAAGAATGATCATAAAACTGTTAATAGCATTGATACAACTCACAATAGAAACTAAAAGATTGCAATTAATTTACTTGTAACAAAAGTACTATTGCTTGTAATTAACACAAATATGCACAAAATTGTTTTGCTCACCCCTAAACATTTTAAATTCACCTAGTAATGTTGATAATAATAATCTATAGCATTGAACTACATGTAGCATTATATGCATGTGCCCTAGTAATATCCATGTGATATAATTCCATGAAAATGATCAAATACATGTACACTGTATCTTGACAGCCAGAGACATGTACATGTATAGTACTCTATTGGCAGACAGTGCTGCCAATAGAGTACTATGTACAGTGGTAGTAGTGGTTTACATACACATACTGTATGCCAAATGAAGGAATAGGAGAGTTTTCACATAGTCACAAATGAAATGAATGCAAAATGAAAATGAATGACTAGATTATTGATTTAATTACTTGTATTAATTTTTTGTACATCTCATATTTCTGCTAGTAGAGCCATAATAATAACAAGAGTGGATAAGGAGGAGGGGAGAGTGTCTAACTGCCCTATGCTGCTAGTGATATGTGCGCGTAGAAGTTTCATGGTTATTATTTGTACATTCCCGCATACCTTATTTAGCACAATAAGTGATAACTGCACTGAAGCCATAGTTGGGCGTGTACTTAAGTTAACTGTAATATAAAAATGGCTGCTGAACTGAGCAGCAAGAGACCATACAGAGACCTTGGAAGCAGAATTTGACCTCACCTTGTTGTACCAGTCACTTTGTACCACTCTGAAGAGATTTGTAGTTTCCAAGTACACAAACCATGTTTGTTATTGACACATTAAAAGCTCTTGATCAATGATCATCCTCCTTTAGTCTGGTCCCTTGGGACCCACATCAAGAGTAAGGATAATAATAGAAGTGAAAGAATATGTGGTACATGTACTTTTAAAACGGGCTGTTAACTGCTGTTGATCTTAAAAACGAAGTATTACAGATCTGAGTTCACTGGAGCAGAGCCTGCTTCTGACTCTTGACTCCATGTCCTCTTTCTTGATGCTTTAGGGCGCTTAGGTGTAGTGGCATGACGCTCATCAAGATTAGATGCTCTCAATCTGTTGTAACAGTCGTGATCATCTGGATTGTGCTGTAGTTCTGATTCTTCCTCTTGAAACATCGTGACTACACGTGTGGGTGGGTGCACCATATAGGTTATTAAAAACACACCCATTTACTATCATGGCTGTTGATGTTTAAACAGGTCAAAGAAGGTGCTAAACAAACTGTGAAAGACTTCTACGCGCACATATCACTAGCAGCATAGGGCAGTTAGACACTCTCCCCTCCTCCTTATCCACTCTTGATAATAATGATAATGTAATATAGCATGTACAAATAACATTTTAATTAAAACTGTTGCATGTACATGTACATTGTACTGTCTTGTGTATACATGCACGATATATAAGTACATGTATATATCTATTTTACTGAGGTATGCAAGAGTTTACTGACTCTTTTCCACAGGCTAAGAGAGCTGGTAGTTGATAAACTACTAATAGCAGCTGTCCTTCCTGTCAATAAAGACGAGAAGAAAATAACCTCCTTCATATTCCCAGTCCTCTCTCACTTTGAAGCTATAGACTATCCACTATACTACGTTGATATAACCAATGAAGACAAGACCTGGGTTACTGATATACTAGTGGAGGAAGGTCTGGGTGTTGCTGCTAGTCCTAATCAGAGTTTTTTAGACTCTGAGAATCTTTCCTGGATTGTGGCTAGAGGGACTCACGTGTCTGGTTCTAATAGTCTTTGGTTGAATTTCTCTGTCGACAGGAAGCCTGATAATGTGAAGGAAATGGTCGACTCGTTACTTAAACTGGTAATTTTAATGTTTTTAAAAATGTACATGTACATTACCACACATGTACATGTACATGTACTTATGTTGCATAGAAAGTTTGAGCTGATTCTGATCAAAATTGGATTTTTTTACAAATTTTTAAAGTTGTTCTAAAATCGGGCCAAAGTCCCTGTACTGTAAGTACAGGGTCATTGGCCAAATTTCGCCAAAAATGAAAAGTAGAGAATTCTTAATTTTTGTTACGTTTTCTGATGCATATACATGTTCTTATGTTGCGTAGAAAGTTTTAGCTGATTCCGATCAAAATTGGATTTTTTACAAATTTTTAAAGTTGTTTTAAAGTCGGGTCAAAGTCCCTGTACTATAGTACAGGGTCATTGGCCAAATTTTGCCAAAAATGAAAAGTAGAGAATTCTTAATTTTTATTACATTTCCTGATGCATATACATGTTCTTATGTTGCGTAGAATGTTTGAGCTGATTTCAATCAAAATTGGATTTTTTACAAATTTTTAAGTTGTTCTAAAATTGGGTCAAAGTCCCTGTACTATTAGTAACGCGGTAGCGTTACTAAGTAGGATTCACCCCCAAACATAATGGCTGCCACGACTTTTGCAGCCTTGCTATACCGGGAAAACGAGCTCCTATGCTTACCAGACTTTATAGAGGACCTTATCTTGACCAGAGGAATCCAATGGTACAACTAGCGTGGCTCTAGACCTTGTCTAAGCGAAAAGTCAAAAATCGGCGAACCGGCCGTTTTGTTCAGCCACCTTTTTTCATCTTCATCATCTTCATCAAGTCCTGTCAATCCAGTTGTCGGTGTGTATCTCAGTATCAGTTGGTGCTACAAGAATAATTCTTACACCAATCTACTCCAACAGTCTATGCGCAGGTCCATGTCCCATCAGATCATTCTTCAAGTAAGGAAAAAGTGATACTGTGACTGCTGGATCGAGCCATCTTAGCTAGATGCCGCCATTTTGTTAATTAAAGAAGCTTGCCATGTGCTCCAAAATTTGGGTGTGGTCGCGCATGCTCAGATCTGCAGCTCTGGAAGAAGCAAGTTATTTTTTACCAAGCTATGCTTGGAATCAACTTACTGCAATACTTTAGTGGTGGTTTCCAGCTAAAAGAAGGTATTGATTTTACATGTTACTATTTATCAAGTGTGTTATTTTATTTTATTTTAAAAAACAAACAATTAATTAATGTTATGACTTATGATATGCAATGATAATTATAAAGGACTTGTGTCAAGACTAGTATTAGTTTCACTTGTCATCAGGATACTTGATATTCCTTCGGCATGTCTATTCAATGCTGTCTCTCATAAATGTTATAACAGTGATAATAATAATAAAGAAAAATATTGTTTGTGTAAAATCAACAAGTATCACAATTGCAACTAAAGAAATACTATAAATATTATTTTAAAATCAACACAAACAAGAACATAAAAAATTTAAAAAAAAACAAGATGAAGTAGGATTCCAACGAATTTACGAAATATTATAAAAAAATCAACACAAACAAGAAC